GTGACGCGAAGAAGGGGAATATGGAATGATTGCTCCTGGTCTCTTCCCTAGAGGAGGTGGGGACATCAGATGATAGTAATGAGAGAGAAGTAAAGAAATGATGGTGATTTTTTTAAAGAACACTTGGTTGATCTATGGACATGGTTGATATATGCCACAGGATGTTGCAAGTGCTAAAAGTTTATACGCATTCAAGGGACAATGCTCAGGCTCATGGAAGAGAAATCCATTGTGTGTTACTAAAACCAGTGAAACCATATCTAGCTTAGGAGATCCCTGAGCTCCAAATGATGAAGCTGGGTACATGAATACTTGGGGGAAATGTCACATATAATTATATCATTCCTATACTCTTCCCCAGCGGTCTGCTTGTGGTCGCTGTTGGATTCAAGGTAGCTGTGTGCTGTGTTCCACTGCATGCTGTGGTTTTGGCCTGGTACCTCAGCACAATGTCCCTTTAGAACTGAGAAAAAGCTATTTGGGTTGTCCTCCCAAATGGAGCTCAATAGATTGTAATGAGGAGTTTCCCTCTATGTCTCACCTGACAGGCACCATGGAAAAATAAGCCTTGAAGGAGGCTGAGTGGGTTTTCCCCAGACTTTCATAGCTACACCCTGGCAAACAAGAAAATAGTATTCCCTTTTTTTCTGGAATTACATATAGATGCACATGATCTTTCAGAGTTTTCCACCAGAGAATGGACAAGGCCTGGAGAAATCAAAGGCAGGGAAGACCTCAACAGAGTACTCATTTGGCGTCAGCCCTTACGGTCCGACCCTCTGCCTCCCTTGCCTACACCTTCCTGCAGTTCTGCTTCATGTCTGTAGCCCAGCCCTTCCATAACTGGGAGGAGACAGCTTTTGCAGTGCATTGGTGCTCTGCAGTCCAGAATTGGTGTAACACTCTGAGACAGGACATTCCTTCACGCCAAACTATTCTTTTGGTACCAACCCAGATGAGCTCTGTCTTGAAAGCCTAAGCAGCTGGGAGGCATTATAAAAGAGAGAAAGTACTAATGACATCACTTCCACACAAGGTGAAAGCTATTTAGACTGTCCTTGATCGTTCAAATTATATCTCATTAAATATCAGACAAACCTGCCTGCTGTGGTCATATTGCTGTGTTGTGGGACCTCAGCAAACTGGTTGGTATACTAGTGTAGGTAGTATTTACGTAGGCACGGTCCAACGTAAAGTTCTGTCTATACCTTTCTCACTGTTATCTCAGCCCCGTGGCTTGTTAGGGGATGCATTTGCTATATCTAATTTTAAGGTCTTCTGTTTGATCTTTCTTCTTCTAACAGAAGAATGAGAAATACCAATGTCATGCTTAACCTTTCTCTTTCTTTTTAAGCCTTTCTCCTTCTCTTTAAGACTCACATGGAGTCAGCTCTTCAGGCTCTGGTAAAGGGCAGTGGCGTTCGTGTAGAAGAAGTTAGACTGAACTTTGGTAGCCTAAATCTGCTACCAAGGCAGTTGCTTCTGCTTCTGCCTTTACTTGACACAAGTAAAACCCAATTACTTGGAGAATGACCCTGTGCACTGCGGGGGGATATTTCCCGGCGTTACTGATCCTCTGTGCCCCTCTCCCTCTGGCAATTACCGACCTTCTCATTTTCCCCAGAGGCAGTCTCTGATGTTAAGAAGACAGTGGTTTGTTTTAAATTTGAGATTTACTGAATTTCAGAGGACATGCACTGCTGGAGTTTGCTTTTCATGCGTTGCTCTGTGTATTGCTGGATAGATTCTGTAATGCAAAAGTAATAGAGAGTTAAGTCTGTTTTTGGTGTGCTTTGAAACCCTTGATTTCGGAGTGCTGAAGGCAATGACTAAGGGGCCTATTCCTTAAAGCCATGTTGTACTGCAGAAATATACGACTCTGATCCCCTATCCGTGAATCTATTTGTAAAGTCTTATTCCAGCTTCATGAATAAAGTCCTTTCTTTACCTCAGCTTCATGGTGAAAATACAGTAAAAGACATTTATCTGATATTGCGGAAAGTAAGTATGACATGGGGCAGAAAGAAATCAGAATTTCTGGATATTCTGTCTACCTGTGTGAATTGGAGAGAAATTATAGCCTGCTGGTCTCTGTGCTCTCCTACCTATAAAACAAGGATATGGATATTTTCCTAACTTATGGGAAAGCTGTAAGTCCCAAGTTAATTACAAAGTCTGTGACAAATCTTAGAAATTCAATTGTGAGATAGTGTGTAAGCATATAATATTAATGTTTTATAAACCCCCTAAACTGTCTGTGGATATCTTTAGTGAGAGGGATATAGTGATATCAAATGAAATCTTTTTTTCACTCCAGCCATTTTCTTTAGAACCCAAAGTGAAAGCTGTTTCCACCAACTGCCATCTCTGCAACCATCTGGAAAATCACATTTTCTGAAGCTTTCCTGCTCTTTATCAGCTGTAACTAAAGCTATAAAATGGGAAGATGTCCCTAGTTTAATTAACACCCCTGTAGTTCAAAAGCTGATCTTAGTAATGAGAGGCAATTATAGCCTTTATTGAGGGACAGTCAGGTGGAACAAACCCGGCATCAATCTATTGAAGACACTTCCCTTTCCAGGTAATTTCGAAACTGCTTTTTATGATGAACGGGCTACCTGGTCCAATACAACAGGTGAATCTCTTTGTTTTGTAACCTGAAAAGAACTTCCTATTTTGATTTATGTGCTTCTTTCGTAAACTGGTTTTTGCATCCCATTCATCTGCCAACAACTAGCAACTGAGCTAAGGAAATACCTGTTGCTTTTTAGGGGATATTCTTGCTGTTTTTTTTTCATTGTATTTTCCTGTCTACTCTTGCTTTTCATTTAGAAGGTTGCCTAGTGTTCATATTTTTGTTCTAGCAAAACTGTAGACTCTGTGGTGTGCCCACATCCTGAGGGCTATGCAGAATTCTGGTCTCTGCATCTCAGAAATCTGTGGTAGAGCTAGAGAAAGTCCAGAGAAGGACAGCGAAGTGATCAAGGGAATGTGATTTCTGCTATATGAGCTAAAAAGGCTGTGGCTCCAGTTCAGGCAGGAGACAACTGAGGGCCAAGGTAAAGCTGAGCCTCGCTGAAGTCATGCAAAAGTGATGGATAAGGTAGATGTAGAACTTTCATACCAGACCTAATGGGCTCCAGCTGAAACAAGGAGATCTGCTTGAAATTATGAAGTACTTTTTTACACAGCAGATAGTGAACTTCTAGAATCTGTTGCCACAGGAGGTTGGGGCAGTAGGCAGTGTCAACATGTTAAAAAAAAAATAAATTTAGACAAATTCAGAGCAGCAGGTCCATAACCTAAGTCTAAAGGTGATGGGCAGGGCTGAAGCAGTACAACGGGAATGATCTGCAGAGAATGGCCATGCTCTTCTGGTCTGCCTCAGTGGTATTTCAGGTGCTGTCTGGCTTCTGATCTGTAAGAGTGTGGGTCTGCTGTACGCCCTGTGTTTCATCCGCCAGCCCTCTGTGGGTACCCCGATATCTCAGGGGTCTCAATGCTAGATGCCTCTTTCTGGAAAGCTGATTTAAAACCTCAGTGTCTACAATGCACGCACCTACACTGCAGTTAGTCACTAAAAGTGGAACTCTACTCATGATTAAGATGCCTGCATTCGGCTGTTTGCATGGAGTTGGCTACCTGTGCAGTAGGTTTAAATTCTTCTGCAGTCAACAGACGTCTGGTCAGTCCAATGGGGACCTAATGCATACAGTCAATGAACAGTTGGTACTGTCATTTCATCTCGCCATAAGGAAGACTTGGAGTGGTCAGTTAAATAACTACTGGCTGTTTCCATTAAATCTTTGATGACTATAAGGGGAGCTTGGACACCTAGCACACATGTAGATACCAAAATTTAGGTATATTAATCTTGAACTGAGTTCTGTCCCAAAATTTCCATTATAATGACTGTAGAGAAATAGGTGTCTCCTGAGAATAACTCATTGACCTGGTTTACACACCTAGGTGTAGATGAGATAAACTGCACTAGGTAAGTGCAGTGAATATGTCTATTCATTGACTTTAAGGGGAGCCTAGGTAGTGGTACCTACGTGGTCAATACACACCACGTCCAGGTGAGTCCCAGCCATCCCATTTTGGAGACTTTGGTACTGTCATTTAGAATCCTAGCTGTAAGAAATGTAGATTTTTAAAGCAGTGTGATCTGAAAAAGTGAAATTATAATTTCAAAACAGACCCCCACACACTTACGCTTTAGTTTAGAATAAAGGTTTAGCCACGATTTTACTGTCTGTAAACTACACTGTGAAACAAGCTACATCCTCTGTCCTGGATTAGTTTAGTATCCTGACAAAATTGCCTTTGCCAGACTAGCTGTAAAAGCTGTAAAACGTTAAAACAAGCTGGTAAGTTGTTTATTCTTCAATAATTAAAGACAGACCAGGCATTAAAAGCCTGAAGTCCTATGGTGTTCCAGCAGTGAGTGGCTTTCATAGGGTGTGTAGGAGAAAGGTTTGTTCAGTATGGAAGAGCTGGAAAGGAATTTCTTTGGTCGGTGGGTCTGTGGATGTTGTTATCTCCATGATGCCAGCAGACACAGTATCCAGGTGCCATCAGTGTACTCCCATTTTAGGACAAGGCAACACCAACTTCTCTCAGAAATACTGTGCACAAGTCCACCTATTTCCAAAATTTCCACTATTGCAGGTGGTACAGGATGGGCTGAAATCTCTTTAGTGAATCAATGCAATATAATCTTGTTTAGGAGACTGCAGAGTTATTTGAAGTAGGATGGATTGCCCATTCTTTCATCTTTCCCACTCCTGTGGGAAAAACTTTGTTGTTTTGTTTCTTATTTGCTTTGGATACAGGTCGTGGGCAAGGAGATAGAAAAATTGGGTGACTGCAATGTTCCTGTAGCTTTGGATCTGGCTGCAGCATCTGCGTCTCTGCGATTCATGTGGCTCGGGTGAAAGGGGGAGCTGTGGTCATCACCTGCCTTGCTGACTGTCCTGTCTTTTCATTCCCCCTCCCAGGTTATGGACATGCTGCCCCAGGGACGGATGCAGGGAAGGCCTTTTGCATGTTCTATGCGGTCCTGGGGATCCCACTGACACTCGTCATGTTCCAGAGCTTGGGCGAGCGCATGAACACCTTCGTCAAGTACCTCTTGAAACGCATCAAAAAGTGCTGTGGGATGAGGAGCACCGAGGTCTCCATGGAAAACATGGTCACTGTGGGTTTCTTCTCCTGCATGGGAACACTCTGCATTGGAGCAGCAGCTTTTTCCCAGTATGAGGAATGGAGCTTTTTCCATGCTTACTATTACTGCTTTATAACATTGACTACAATAGGGTTTGGAGACTATGTGGCCCTGCAGACCAAAGGGGCCCTTCAAAAGAAGCCTCTCTACGTGGCTTTTAGCTTTATGTACATTCTAGTGGGGTTGACAGTCATTGGGGCATTTCTAAATCTGGTTGTTCTCAGGTTCTTAACCATGAACAGCGAGGACGAGAGGCGGGATGCCGAGGAACGGGCGTCCCTGGCAGGGAACCGCAACAGCATGATTATCCACATCCAAGAGGACTCCCAGCATGGTCGGCCACGGTACAAGGCCGAAGTAACAGACCTTCAGTCAGTTTGTTCCTGCATGTGTTACAGGTCCCACGAGTACACCAGCCGGGTGGTGTCCCACCAAAATTCGTTCAGCTCAAAGCTGAACCCCCAGTACTTTCACTCCATCTCTTACAAGATAGAGGAGATCTCGCCAAGCACATTAAAAAACAGCCTTTTCCCATCTCCTGTCAGCTCCATCTCACCTGGGTTGCACAGCTTTACAGATAACCACAGGCTGATGAAAAGGCGAAAGTCCATTTAAAGGGATTTGTCTTCTTTTGCTTTTCTTGTTTTCCCCAGTTCTTCTCCGTTGTTTTGGGGTTTTTTTGGTTCCTTGAGTGAGACGGAGCGAGGCCAAAGGGAGCAGAGAAAGCCAGTCCTCCTCTGAGACTCAGCTCTTGAGCATGAAGCATGGATTATTACTGTTCCAGCAAAGTATGCCTTACATTACCCCCTCGGTGGATGTCAGAGGATTCAAGGTGACGTGAAGTGGGTACCAAATCCAAAGTTGCACACACAGCTGGGAGCCTTCATGTGCCACTGGCACTCCTGACCTAATAAACTATTTTCCTCACGAGCAGGTTGCAGCGTGCGTGCGTGCTTGTGTGTGTGGTGGGGTGTGTGTGCGTGTGTGTGCGTGTGCAAGTCCACAACTAGTGCCATGTGACAAAAATTAAAGCATCAGGTATTTTTTTTTTCCCTTGAAGCAATTGTGTTACAGCCTGCTTTTAACTTTTAGATTGCTTCCAAAAGGAATGGGGAGGGTGGGAGGGGAGCCAATTTCTTTTGTTTTTTGCCAAGATGTGTGTGTGGTGGGGTGTGTGTGCGTGTGTGTGCGTGTGCAAGTCCACAACTAGTGCCATGTGACAAAAATTAAAGCATCAGGTATTTTTTTTTTCCCTTGAAGCAATTGTGTTACAGCCTGCTTTTAACTTTTAGATTGCTTCCAAAAGGAATGGGGAGGGTGGGAGGGGAGCCAATTTCTTTTGTTTTTTGCCAAGACAAGCATGCGCCATAAGCAGTCAATATACCAGGTGTATCATGATAAATTTTTTAATGCTAGATTTTAGATTGTATTAACATTAAAAAAAGGCAGGAAAAGATGGATCATTTTAGCTTGCCAGTTCAAAATTTAAAAAAAAAATAATAAAATAAAGCATGCACTTTGTAAAACTGGTATGCATATAAAAACACAAGAAAAACTAGCAATGGAATTAATAATCAAAAGCAAATAATCCTATTGATTTAACTATATTTACTTTTATCATTTTCAATTGTTCCAACAATTTGCAAGTGGAATTTTTAAGAGAAATTGGGAGAATTGTTGGAACTAAAGAGTGTATATTATGTTATTTTTATTTATAAAA